TGAAATCCTAACCTGGTCGGGTCGGGTTGTCATTGTAATCGGGTTCTGCCGTGGGTGTAAATTGGGCCTGGTTGGGCTTGTTGGGCCTTGATTTTGGGCTTGAATATTTTTTGGGCTCGATTGAGCATATTTGTAATTTGGGGCCCAGTTTCAGATTTGTTGTAATGGCATGCAAAGATAATAAACATATACATTAATAATAATAATAATTAAATAATAATAATATTATTAATAATAATAAAATAAAGACGGGTCCGGGAGAAAACGAATATCGACATAAGCGTTAATAGTTGATCGATTAACAATTTTCATCTAAAAAGGGGATCATTCTAACAAAAATGAAACGTTCATGAGTTAAAATACTAAAAAAGAAAAAGAAAAAGGGCCCAATCTTAAAGGTAATTTTGACATTATCTTTTCTGAAAAATATATGAAGGCCTCAGGAACTATTAAACCTACAAGTATTTCCTTCTAGATTACCTATTGAAGTTTTTATATTTAAATTAAATATTTGAGGATATTTATTCAAGTATTTTAATATTCGTGTTCCTCTTATATATTAAATTTATCCTCTTTTTCTCCCGATAAACATGAAATTTCAGTTGATATATATTACACACCCAAAAAGTTATCTCCTTTATTCTCCTTTTCGTTCTCGTTAATTCCCTTATTAAAAAAAGATATTTTTTTAATAGAGTTTCATCATCTTTATTCAATTATAAAAATCTAAAAATATTACGTTAATCTTAGGACACTAATTTCACGATTATATCAATAAGGTTTAAACTATTTTAAGATAATAATTTTGTAATAATATAATAATCATATTAATATTTTATTTTCTCTGAAATTTATTATTATTATTGATATATTTTTTAATAATTTTAAATAATTAAAAGATAATATTTGTTAAAAAAATAATCATTTATATTTTTAATGTCTTTGTTTTAGAACAATTTAGTATTTTACCAACATACGTTTCTATTGGAAATTTCCATGCTTTAGAAAGGTTGAAAAATTATGCTAATAACGTCGATTGTTGAGGAAATACAACGGGATTATTAAATAAAAAAAAACTTCAGGAAAGAACCTTCCAACAAAATTAATTAGAAAAATATCTCTTAAACTATCTACGTAAAATGAAAAGCGATGTTAGAGCTCGTGTTTTATGAAAATCGAATTTTTTGCATTTATTATATTATTTATCCAAAAAATAAATAAAATTATCTGAAAAGTTGATAAAAACACGAAATCTAACCTCATTTTTACATAATCCAAAATTATTTTATGGGTACAATTTAAGGATATCTTTCTAATTAATGATGTTTGAGTTATTTTTTAATAAAATAATAAATGAGGGTTTCTATTTAATAATGCTAAATACAATACTCTCAAATATTTTTAAAATGTCTAATAACGATCTTGGTGATTTGACAAAAAATATTTTCTCACTCTATTTTTCAATTATAAAAGATATTTGTTTAATATTATTTTTATGTTAAGAAATATTTTTTTATTAATCTCAACTGAATTTTATTAATAAAAATGAAAAAAAAATCAAAATTATGATGTATCTAAAGATAAAATTGGAGACAATAGTTATTAAAAATTCGTACATAAAATTAAAATATTAAATTCAAAGATAAGAAGAGAATGAAACATTTCAAACATTAAAACAATTCAGTAACATTCATAAAACTCATTTCTCTGTCGAACGAGACGCTTTACGGTGTAATAAAGGAGTAGCGAGCGACCCAAATAATTTGGCAGACTACTTCGCTACACAATTTTGACTATCGACAAGCCAACCAGAAAACAAATGTTGTGAGGATATTTGTGGAAGCACCAACACGACTGCTGAAGTATGCGAAAAACTTACAAAAAATCTTAAGAACGTGCCACAAAACAGAGAAAAAACGTATCACAAGAGTAAATAAAAATGTCACAAGAACAAAGATTTTTATTTAAAAGTGAAAAAACTCAAGAAAAAAATAAATATATAATATGAAAAAAATAAAAAAAATAATAATCACTGACGGTCGATAATTAACATTAAGATTAAAGTCACCACTGATTAAACAAAAAATAAATGAAATAAAAGAAGACGGTATAAGAATATTAAAAGAAAAAATTAGGTAAAAAAAGAAAAAGGAAAAACTTTTTTGGTCGAAAACTATGTTAAGAAATACTTTTAAAGCTTTCCAATTAACGATAAACACTCCTTTAGTCATAATATATTATGGGGTAATTCTGATGTCAGTGTGTTTCGATATATTATCTCAGATTTATATCATTATTTTTTAAATATATTATATATTATAAATATATTATATATATATATATTTCTATTAAATTTTTTTAAACATATTTTAAATTAGAAAATTTAAAATATTTAAATTAGAAAATTCATATAATTTTTAACCTCTATTTTTCTTTAATTTCTGTCCAACTTATTTCAGTTTGTTTTTAACATTATTTTAGACATACTACCTTCCCAAGCGATTTTCCCGATAAATCATCATATACGTTTTTATTTCTCTGTCAGACACCGTTCAGACTATATTTTCCGATCTAACTCCCTTTATAGAAAGACGCGCCTCCTGTACCGTGCTTTACGCGTAAAGCGCGCACATGCAACGCGCCTTGTTAAACTTGTAAAAAAATTCAAGTGTTAATTTAGTAAATATTTTTAAACTGATGCCAAATATTTAATTAATTTATGTTAAGATGATATTTGTATAAAAACACCAACTTTAACTATTTATTTTTTTGTGATATTATTTTTAACCACAATTAATAATGTTTATTACTTTTAAAATTAATTGTTTAAAAATATGAAAATATTAAAATAAATTTTTAATTACAATTAAGAGATCAAATGAGTTATTATTTATTTTTTTAAAAAATAAATAAAAATGCAATAAAAATGAATTAAAAATGAATAAAATTCAATAAAAATTTAATGTAAAGCTAAAAAATATCACCACTTTATTTAAAATATTTTTTCTAATATTAATTTTAAAAAATATTAAATAAATATTAAATTTTAATTTTATTAAAAATGAATAAACATTATTAATTGTTGTTAAAAAATAAAAATTAATGAATAATAATTCATTTAATCCCTCAATTGTAATTAAAAGTTTATTTTAATATTATTTATATTTTTAATAAATTAATTTTAAAATACTCTATTCTCAAGACCTATAGTCAAGTTTATGATTGTTAATCAGTCGTAGGTGTGGAAATATACATGAATCGAATGAAAATTCGATCGTACAAAGTCAATAACTCAAAATTGTCTAATTGCTGTCTAAATATCAACTCAATTGTACCACGAATAAACATCCGATCAAAGAGTTAATTTTTTTTGCTCAATATTCACAAAAACTGTTTTGTCTCATCATTTTCTCATGCGTATGAACTCCTTTCTTTTTATAACATTCATGCAAAAGAATATACATATTGCGTAATTTAATGCAAAAATAAAATTTGTCGAGTTATAAAATAATTTACAAAAGAATATTTAAAAGTATTTTAAAATATGAATAATTTTATGAAAATTTTATAACTAGTATTTCTTTTACAAAATGATGACGATGATAATAAATAATTTATAATTTTAAAAAATTATAAATTTCATATATTTTTAAAAATTTTATTGACTTTTAAAATTAATTGTTTAAAAATATAAAAAATATTAAAATAAACTTTTAATTACAATTGACTTTTGCAATAAAAATCACTTTACTTTTGATTTTTCTGTGTGCACGTGGGCAACTATATTCAACATAAAAGAATTAAGAAATGAAAGAACTCATACGCGGGAGAAAATGATGAGACAAAACAGTTTTTGTGAAGATTGAGCAGAAAAGATCAACTCTTTAATCGAATGTTTATTCGTGGTATAATTGAGTTGATATTTAGATAGCATTTAGACAATTTTGAATTATTGACTTTGTACGACCAAATTTTCATTCGATTTCTGTAGCTTTCCACACCTACGACTGTTTAACAATCATAAACTTAACTAAAATAAACTTTTAATTACAATTGAGGAATCAAATGAATTATTATTCATTAATTATTATTTTTTAACAAAAGTTAATAATATTTATTCATTTTTAATAAAATTAAAATTTAATATTTATTTAATATTTTTTAAAATTAATATTAGAAAGAATATTTTAAATAAAGAGGTGATATTTTTTAACTTTACATTATATTTTTATTGAATTTTATTCATTTTTAATTTATTTTTATTGTATATTTATTTATTTTTTAAAAAATAAATAATAATTCATTTGATATCTCAATTGTAATTAAAAATTTATTTTAATATTTTTAAACGATTAATTTTAAAAGTAAATAAAGATTATTAACTCTGGTTAAAAATAATATCATAAAAAAATAAATAAATAAAGTTGACGTTTTTATACAAATATTATCTTAATAAAAATTAATTACATATTAAACACTAATTTAAAATATTTATAAAATTAACATCCATATTTTTTACACGTTTAACAAGACGCGTTGTAGGGAACGAGCCTTACACACGTGACACCAGATCTGTATAAAACACGATACAGTAACATGCATTCTTACAAAAAAAAAATATTAAATCAAAAAATATAATCTAAACAATCACTATTACAGGAATGATTTTCCCCCTCTCTCTCTATAATTTTTGCGCAGATAGCTCTCTCTCTCTCTCTAGCCAACAAAATCTCTTACTATAAACAATCACTATTATATATATATATATATATATATATATATATATATATATATATCTTTTCGACCCTCAGTTAAAGGGTGTGATTTTGTTTTTGTTTTTGTGTTTGGGAGGTGAGAAGTATCAAAGGAAGAGCGTCGGGAGGGACTACAGGAAAGGTTGTTTCTTTCTACTTTGCTTGCACGGTTTAAAGGGACAGAGAGGAATAAGATTAAATAGTCAGGGAAGCAGATAATATATATACATATATATTACGTAAAAGAAATAGACAATGTCGGCTTACAGAGAAAAAGATCCCCGTATTCATGGCATCCAATCCAGGATTCGTGTTGTCCCCAATTTCCCCAAACCAGGTTACTCTATTTCTTCTTCCCTTTTGTTGCCTTGAAGAAAATGGTTTCTTCGTCTCTTTATTCCATCATGTAATCTGTTTTTGTTCTTGTTTATTATCAATTAATGTCACGAAAATGTTAAACAATGGATTATGGTTTAAAAATCAGATTATTTTGGGCCCTAGGAATCATGCAAACTACCATGAAGATTGAAGCTATATAGATAATTGTTGCGGCTTTTCTACCCAATTCAAGTTGGGAACTTGTCATTTTTAAACTAAATTAGTTCCGGGTTTTTGTTTGTTAATGTAAGATTGTGAATTCGGTATTTTTATGGTGGAAATGGCAGGCATTATGTTTCAAGATATAACTACCCTTTTACTGGATCCTAAAGCATTTAAAGACACTGTTGATTTGTTCGTTGAAAGATACAGAGGGAAGAACATTTCAGTCGTTGCAGGTAAAACGAGAGTGAAGATAAGGGAGGAAAAAAACCATTCATTTTTGGGTTATTATTATACTTTTTTATCCGTGAAAGGTCCATATATTTTTAAGAATTTTTTATGGCTCTTTGATCTGCATCAATGTGGTAGGGTCCATGCTTATACGAGAAAGTAAGCTCCTGTTGAAACAGGAGTGAAAAAAGATATGCCCTTTCAAGTTGCCTAAATTTCTGGTTGTCTTTTTGAATGCTCTTTAACTGATTTTGGAATGGAAATGACTGTTTTTTCTATTTTATAGAATTTCTGGGAACAAGATAGAATTTTATGTTAGTAGATACGAATTTATAAAATTCTTGGGGGCAATAATAAATTATTAATAGAAAATGTAAATAAAACAATCTTAAATAATCGATAATTTGAAATTTTAAGGGGCAACAGTCCTCAGCCACCCTTTTTCCATCCCTGTTCATATCACGTTTGACTAACACCTTTCGCTAGTGGGGTGAGCCACTGACTGCTCCCTCCATCTCTTTCTTTCCCACACACATTCCTGTTGTGGCCATGTGCTTGGATCCTACTTGGCTTTGTTGGTGGTGGTTGATGGATTTCCCCACCTTCCATGAGGTGGACTGGATGATGTAAATTCCGACCCACACCCCTTAATTTTGAAGCTTAATTATAGAACCCTGATGTAGTTATCTGCTTTGATACTGCTGAATGATTGATGCCATTTTTATATGATGCATTTGTTGTTTTCTATACCTCTTGAGTTTAATATGAAGTTACTCAAAAACTACTTTTGTTTCTTCCGTTTCCCTTTCATTAACCATTAGCTGACGAATCTTTTGGAGCTACTGAATGAGATGCGGGGGAGATTGATGGTTTGTCAAACCATTAGCAGTTGTAGCTCAACTTTTGTTGATTGATTAGTATCTACATTTCTGAATGAAATGATTATTTGCTGTCTGTTTTTAGTATTCATTGTCACTTTGACAAACTAATAGGAAGTTAAGAAGGTTTAATGATCTTATCATTGATAGGGGTGCGTTGTCATTATTTTTTATTTTTAAATGAAAAAAATTATTTAAGAATCTATTATTTATGTGCTTTTTCTTATTTCACGTGCATTAGAGTTTGTCTCCTTGTGTGCTAATGTAGACTGAGGTTGTCTTGTTGTTTTTATGAACTTTTATGCTGCCTTCTATGGGAAGTTGCAGTGTCTCGCTTATGAGATATGGACATCTTATCATAATTCTGGTTAACATTATCCAGTTGGTTTAGGTTAAACTCCTAGGGCTTTGATTATCATCAACGAACAGTGGAGTTTGTCGTACCTGATTGCCATGGGAATAGAATCTGTTTTTCATTTGACTGAAATCTGATTTAATTCTGCAATAAACTGTTAATCAACTTGCAGTTCTTGTGTCCATGACAAAACATTGGTTCTGCATGTGCTAGATTCTGTTAGAGCGGCTTTCTTTACTGATCCCATATAAGATTTTTATGGTTGTACATCAACTGAAACTCAACAACAAAGTCTGTCATGTGGCGGCATTGACTGTATTTTTGCATCTTTTGGTTATAAGTTTGTTCCAGATCACATGTACCTGAGTTATAAAGTCACGTGGAAGTAAATTCATGCTAGCCTTAGACTGAAATGACACTACTACTTTCTATCAGTTGTGGTATAGTAGATGACAAACATCGAGTAGTGTACTGGATGGCTTGTCATTGTATGGTTAATGTTTTAGATTTCTTAGAGGTCAAGGGGAAGCTAGTTTTTATTGAAGCAGAGTGTGAATGGTGGATGAATTTGGAGCAATGCTTGTGTTTCAATTTGTTTTGTGTCATTTGGAAAATTTCTGCATTCACTCGTCTTTTTCCCATTTGTGTATCTTTGCTTTATGGATGATAATAAAAAAGTTTGAATCACAGGTATAGAAGCTCGGGGTTTTATCTTTGGTCCTCCCATTGCGCTGGAAATCGGAGCGAAGTTTGTCCCCTTGAGAAAACCGAAGAAGTTGCCTGGTAATACTTGTTATTCTGCAACATTGTCCTAGTGCTCAGCTATGCACAAGTTGGCGAAATTCTTTTATAATTTCCTTATAAAATATATGGCAGGCTAGTGTTATTAGAATTTATCCTGCTATCTGTGATATAGCAGAGAATCCTGTTAATACAGCAGCTCAATTCGCTTTATATATATAATCATTGTCATAGAGGATTAATGGTTGCAATTGCTTAATAGCCAGGGTGATTACTTGTGCATGTTTGTTACCTTCGGATCTATTCAATTCTTGAGGCTGACTTGTATGTTTGTGTTTGTTTTTCTTCTTTTAAATGTGCAATGGTGTTAGGTAAAGTTATATCGGAAGAGTATGAACTGGAATACGGAAGGGATTGTCTTGAGATGCATCTCGGAGCTGTTGAACCTGGAGACCGGGCCTTGGTTGTTGATGACTTGATAGCAACTGGAGGCACTCTTTGTGCTGCTATGAAATTACTCGGTAAGCTTATGAGCTCTTCAGACAAACAAGAAGTTGTTATCAATTTAAAACCTGTACCTTGTCCGTATGAAACTAGCAGATTAGTTGACATTTTGTTTGAGTCATGTTGCAATTAGATTTTGTTAGGAAATAAAACTATCTATGATATCTTTGCCATTGGTTATTATCTTGTCAAAGATGTCTTTTCTTGGTTATTGAAATCTTACTATGAATGTGTATCTTCAGAACGAGTCGGGGCCGATGTAGTTGAATGCACATGTGTTATAGAATTACCTGATCTGAAGGTGTGTATTTTATTTCTGAATGCACTCGACAATTGATGGAAGACGAGAAGCCTTGCCTTTCCTATTAATTCTTACGTACTAACCATATAAATTTGGTGTATGTTGTAGGGTCGAGAACGGTTGAATGGGAAGGCGTTATACGTACTTGTGGAGTCCCATTGATCATGGCTGATGATACGGTTTGTACATTAGAGCTCCATGGATAATAGCTGTGGAATCTATTGTAGAAAATCAGAACTGAACTTTCATTAGTGAAGTTTGAGGGAGAAAGGTAAGACCATGTTTTTGGGTTTCAAGATTGTAGATTTGTTGTTGCTGTCGAGAAAGAGTTGAACATCGCACTCGTTGATTTGCATTATTCCTCAACAAGGCTGCAGGCAAATTAATGAACGCTTTGAGATAACTTGAGCAGCAAATAATAATGCAAAGTTGGTTGCTTCATTCCTTAATCTGAGGGGCAGATACAGCCCAAGTGCCCTATCAATTGCTATGATTAGGTGACTGAAGACAGCATTATAGTATTTGGTCGGATGTATGAATGCATTCAAATACATAAATAAACTCGAATCATGAACATAATATATGATAATCCCAAAGCCATGATGATTCAACATTGTAAAACAACTGCAACCACAAGGGAGGAGATTTGGGTTATAGTTCCGTTGATGACATTGGCCACTGAACGGTTCCAATACTCAAATATTTTATCAATTTAATTAATAAATTAACATAAAATAATATAACAGTTAATAAAATTAATATAATAATAATTAGTAAATTTGATTCTCAATTTTACATTATTTTAATCTACTTCTAATTCTGGAAAACAACATTTAATATTCAAATATTTTATCAATTTAGCCATTTTTATATTCTTAAAATAACATTTTAATAGAAAAATATTTTCCTATTTTATTTCATTCTTCATCACCATCTGTTTCTCTGGACTTAAATGCAAAAGTTGACTATTTTACCACATCAGTCACCAGATGAATAGTTTAGTACAGGGTCCCCGAGCTCTTATGTTTGGATCCAACCTTTGTTTTCAAAATTTGCAGTAAAATTCACAGAACATCACTTTCGGCTGTCGGATTGTCTTACATGTATTATGCCATTCCCTAGGGGAAAAAATTAGAAGTGAGGGTGAAGGGTGAATCGAACTCGAAAATGATAATCCCAACTTCAACAAGCATCACCTAAATGGCATCATATTCAATCCTTTAGGTCTGTAATCCACCAATGACAAATACTTTCAATTCAAAGTCCATTTAAACACAACAAACGCCAACCGTTAAATTGGGTTAATTAATGACAATTTAAGTAGAAAAAGAGTGGATAAATTAGCATTTATCAACCCAATTTTCTCCCTTTTTCTTCTAATAATAATCCCACACGGAAAGGGAAGAAAAAAAATGTGTTGATAAATGCAACAAAGACGATGCACTTACCCTCATAAAAAACAACATTTAAAAGGGAATTTAAAAAAAAAAACTACTTTTACAATTTATAGAGAATAAGAAAGCAAGGCAACACTGCACGCGGATCAAACACGACCAACTCGCCGTTGTCTCCACTCACTGAGTCATACCCGGCTCGCCCTTCCACCAACGGCTCGTACCCGAAACCCATTCGCTTCGAGACCCGACCAGCGATAACACGGCAAACCAACATCGCCTTCCTCCCCCTCCCACCTCCCGCGCTATCGTGGGCGCCGCCGCTACATGAGTAAGTGCAGACGACGTCACCTTTCCTGCCGGAAAATAGCCACTTGTCGTTCATTCCACAGTTCCCCGAAGTGGGACCCAAGCAATGGAAGCTCATTACCTCGTTACCGTCCGCGACGCACCTCGCATTTTCCTCGTCGGCAGAAGCCGGACCACCCGAGCCCGAGCCGGACCGAGTTTTGACCGTCTCTCGATAATCCTCAAACCCGCTCACCGTCCTCGGTCCATTTTGAACTTTGAAAACCATCTCGATCTGACCCGTGACAGCCTTGGGGCTCCAACTCGTATGAAAAATAATTTCCACCACGTTCCTCGAAGGGTGACCCTCTGGCAGTTCCGTCAGCGCCGGCAGGACAGGGTCAGGGTCCCTAAGGGGTTGGGCAGGGAGAGAAGCACTCCGGCACGGTCGAGGCGGAGGGATATTCAACTCGGACCTGGACTTACTGCTGGACCTCGAATGCTGTTTCGGGTTGGGCTTGGGGTTCGATTTCTTGGGTTTTTTCTTGACAGTTTCGATGACGTCCTTGATACTTTGAGAACTCCGTGCACAACTGGTGCTGGGAATCAAATGCTTGGGGCTGGGGCGGTAAACATCTTCATAAGCTCTCGACTTGCATTGCAAAGATTTGACCCACCCGCTTGCCATTCTCGGACTCCTTTTTTAGCCAAAGAATCTGAAAAGTATCAGTCTTTTTTTGACGAACAATTTGTTTTCAGTTCGATTTGGAGTTGTTGTTGGGAGCTTTCATCTTTTGTTGTTTTGTTTCGGAATAGTTGAGGTTCTGGGAGTGAGAGGAAAAGGGATTAATTGAGTTGTGTCGTGGAGGGGGATATGAAAACGGAACGACGACAATTTCCTTCAGAGATAAAAGGTTATAAACCACGTGGATTCTGTCTTACAATTTGTTTGCTTTGGCTATGTAAACAAATTTCCATTAATGAAGAAAGCTAGGTCACATTGGAAACCAACTATTTTTCTTTGTTATTTTTTCTTCTTCTGGGAAAAAAATTCGTTACTTTATTTTTATGGTACAAGTACTTTGGGTAAACTATATCACAGGTCATTCAATTATCCATAAAATTACAAATGAGTCACCATTTCTTAACAATTATAAACAAGTCACTTAATTGATTATAGCAATAAGATCATATCTCATCATGTTAATTGTCGGTGTATACTATATGATCGTTGAACCTAAAATTTTACCATAAGAATTCACATTGATCTCCTGTTTAATTCATTATATTAGATTATTGGGTTAACTGCACAGATGATCACTTATGTTTGTGTTTTGTCCACTTTTGGTCATTGATTTTAAAAAATATAAGATGTGGCCACTTTTGTTTTTATTAAACTAAGATATGGTTGCTTTCATTTTTTAGCGAAAACAATGAATGAGCCTCAATAAAAACCCCTTCTAAACCTAATAAGGGGAAAAAGTCCTTAATTACCATAAATCAAATATTAAGTACATCTTGAATGTCATGAGCTATGATAAACTGAATCAAAGAACAAAGAGCCCCCAGTTCTAAGAGCCCAATTAGCTAACCGATGAGCAACAAGATTACAAGAACAACTAGCATAAGTAATATGAAACTGAGAATGGCTCAGGAAAATCTTTCGAGCTTCATACACAAAAACTCCAATAGTTAAAATATCAGCAGAATCTCTTGTAATCTTGTAAACAAGTGTCAATGAGTCGGTTTCAAAATGAACAGTCGTCCATCCCATAGTACAAGGGAATCCCAATCCAGTAAGCAATGCATGGAGCTCCACAAACCCAACTTCGAAGTAACCAACTTGGCCACTTCAATCACAAGCTATAACACCAACAATTGCTATTCTTCGAGATCCATCATAGGCGCCGTCAGTATTTATCTTAATCACCCCCACAATAGGGGTTATCCATCAAGCATAATCCACATCCGAGTTCACTCGATCAACCTCTTTAACTCTGGGGAAAAAGTTCCATTTTTCACTTAGCAATCGCTTTCAAATAATCTTGATATAGAATCTTCGCATTGGTGACCAAGATCCAAGATGGTAGTAACCTATCACCCTGAACAAAAGAATTTCGATTAATCCAAATATTTAATAATATAACAAAAAAAAAGTAAATAAATCATATCCAAGGATTGAGAAAGCTTCCTCCAACATATGAGTGGATTATTTGTCGAGCTAAGGTAGAGTCGTGCTGGGATTTCGACAAGACGAAGTATCTCTAACGTCTTTGGATAGCTACGGATTGCATGTAATGTCGCTTCTTCTAGCGATGAACACGTTAGACAAGCTCCATCAGACAAACCAACATCTTTGAGGCAACTCCCCACTGGCAAAGCATTACGAACTACATGTCAAGCAAAAATTTGGATCTTTGGACGAACTTGGATTTTGGTAATAATCGACCACATCTTGGACTTACATTAATGGTCGTGGAATCTTCGTTGCAACCACTAATATCCTGTGTGTACTGAATATAACCCAGAATCATGGTTGTCCCAAACAATCACATCCTCATTACATGTAAAACATATATAACATCCTCATCAGTGAATATCTTATGAATTAAAGCTTCATTCTACAAATTAGTCCCAAGAATCATAAATTCATAACAATAAATAGAAGCAAGATCATAAACTATATGTAACATCCTCAATACCGGGTTAGTGACTAAATTGTAAAACTTCAAAATTTGGTGATTAAAGTAGAATAATTGAATAGTTCAAGGACTTATTTGGAAATATTTTATGAAAGATTGTTAGTAATTATGAAATGAATTAAAGGGAAAAATGGTCAATTAACTTAGAAATGAATTAAAAATAGGATATGATAAGTATAAATACGCGTGAGGATTGGGGAGAGAGGAAAGCAAAGTTTTCCAGAGAATTCTCCATATTTCTTTCTCTCTACCGTCAACCCAAGGTAGCAAAGGTGAGTCTTCTGGTTAGCTGATTATTTGTTGATTTTAAGAGTAGGTTTTGATCCTTAGGTGATACTTAAGCTTAAGGAAAGCTTAAGTTGTCTTATAATCGAAAGATGAAGAAGTTATAAGAGATTAAAGAGAAATGGTGTCTAAATGAATTTCTGGAAAAGAGTTGATAAGTTGAATTTGAAACTAAATTTGACTTGTCAGCAACTTAATTAAGAGATATGAAGTGATAGAATTGGATTTAGAACATATTGAAAAATTGGTATGATTCTTGATTTCTATATGGAGAAAGGAATTTTGAGGTTTAAGATGTGATAAATGAGTATAAATTAGTTTAAGTATAAGTATGTGAGTTAAGAACATGAAAAGTGAGGAAACATGAAGTGTTGAAGCTGAAAAGAGTGAATTTTAGTGCTGAAAATGTGATTTCTGGGCAAAGTGTATCGGTACACATTCAATAGGTACCGATACACTCTTAAACGAAAAATCATCGAATATAATAAGTGTATCGATATACAGATAGTATATCGATACCCCTTTACGATGAAAACTTTCGAATGTAATTTGTGTAATGATACACAGGTAGTGTACCGATACACATGTTAAGGGATGTACCGATACACACGTTAAGGGATGTACCGATACACTATAGAGTGTACCGATACCTAACTTAAATAAGAAAGAAAAGTAGCATTTCCTTTAGTCTAAAAAAAAGAAAGATTAGAGTATATCAATTAGAATACTGATATGGATCCATGTATATATTATGTAGATATAAAACGTAATCCCTTTCCGGAACAATCAAAGAAGTAGGATCGATTCAAAGCAAGCAAGGCTAAGGTGAGTACATAATATATGTATAATTTAATGGAAATAAGACTTTCGATAAGACTATTTCCTAGGCTAATTCAATAGTATATAATAATTATGAACATGCATACATTATAGTCTTTATTAAATATGTATAAGTCATATATGTTTACATATGGTTCACTACATGTTATATGACTCATGTGAATATATTCAAATACTTATGTAATATGATATGAAATGGAAGGTTATATGTACATGTTAAATGTGATAGAAGAAAAGATATATGTGATTACAAGGAAAATGACATAGGTACATAGTTATATGAAGTATAATATTAATGCCCATGTTATATGATATGCGAGCTCTAGGTATAGTTGGCTTACCAAGAGTCGAAAGTTTCATAGGTCCTTCGGGACATATTTATAGGTCCTTGGGGACAAATCTCATATGCCACTCAGTGGGACTTATACGAGCTGTGGTGACAATAGATGTGCACAGCCTCTATGTACTCGAATACCTTAAGTTCTCAGGATATACATGGGCCTATAAATAATATGAAAAGGGTGTATTACATTACATGTTATAGTATTAGTATTGTTTATAGCGTGTAAGTAATTTACACGTAAGTACAGAAAAGCAAGAAGACCAATCTTAGGAGAAGCAGAGCAGCATATCACAACTTGAAGATCAGATCAGAAGCACCTTATATAGTATGTTTATTTGTGTAATATATGTGTTGGCATGTAAATAGCGTCGTATAGTATATAAGCTCTGATCAAGTTTGTAATGTGTTGAACTTAATTATGTAAATATAGTCTTGGTGTTAATAAAAGTTTAAATTTACTACGGTTTTTATAAATGTATATGCTTTGAAAAGTCAATGTGGCACCTCGTATTTGTATCCGGGTTGGGTACGGGTTAGGGGTATTACATTTAATAGTATCAGAGCTACGGTTTAGTCGATTCTCGGCATAAACCGAAGTCTAGAGTATCTTATAATGTATACATTCCAACATAGTAGTAAGAACTTATGATCTGATAAGAGTAATGAGTATGTTATTTAGACATTTGGTTTATATTTTATTAGATATCTGGACAAGATAGCTCCCGAAGTGAAGCGGGAGATGAGAGGCTAGCCGAAAGTAGTAATTCACCTACCCTGGCCAGGCAAAGTGAAGAACATGCACCTTCTGGAGTGCTTATACAAGACCAAGACGTTTTCTTCAGGACGTTGGATGCAATCTTGACGCGTTTCCAACCTCCTGCCTCCTCAACGCAGAGGATGAATGTTGCAAATGAGCTGAAGGGATTAAGAGCTCCTGAGTTCAAATGTGAAGTTGAGGAGGGTCCTATTGCTGCAGACCATTGGCTCAATGATGTGAAGATCATGTTAGAGGGACTCTACTGTTCTAATGTGGAGAAGCTAGAGGGAGTGGTTTCCTTGCTTCGTGGGAAAATGAGAATTTGGTGGAAAAATGTACCTTTGAGGATGACCAGTGACCAGGTGACATGGTCTCTGTTCCTTATAAAGTTTAGGCATAAATATATAGGTGATCAAGTTATCAAATAAATGAAGCAAGAATTCTTGAATTTGAAAAAAAAGAATCGCTTGATGTATGAGTATGAGTTTAACAAATTGAGTCGTTTTGCGGCTGAATTGGTGCCTATAGAGAAGGATGCCTGTGAATGGTTCGTGGAGGGCTTACGCCCAAGGTTGAAGGAAATGTTGATTGTACCGAATCTGTCCTCATTCCAAGAAGTAGTAAACCGTGCCAAAGCTTTAGAGAGAGCTCAGAATGAACGGTTTGGAGAGCAGAGAGTTCAACTATCTAAAAAAACTGGAGCTTCATCAAGTTCTACACTACCTAAGAGAGGTAGAGATTCTGGCTCTCGATATCAAGCAAGATCCAAATCGGTGGCATCCTATGCTAGAGGATCAAATTAGGCAAGATCTAGACGAACTCAATCTGTAGAGACTGGTTATGGGCGAGCACAACAAAGTCAAGTTGGGCAGTGTCAGATCTGTGGAAGAAACCATAGTGGAATATGTAGAGTTAAAACAAGAGCTTGTTTTCGATGTGGGGAAACTGGACATTTCATGAGAGATTGTCCCTTGAGGGTCGGAAAGCCTATTTCACTTGGGAGATCTGCTTCAATGTCCTAGAAGGGACGAGGTAAAGGAAGAGTCAGAA